ATCGAAGATGTAACACACACACACACACACACACACACACACACACACACACACACACACACACACACACACACAATCAATCAATCAATCAATCAATCAATCAATCAATCAAATCCTTTTTTTGTTTATTTGTTTTGAAATTTTGCATCTGCTTTTTATTTTTGAACACCTCATCTCCCTTCAAAAAAACAGATTCATTATAAAAAAAAAACACAGGTCGACTCGGGGACCATATATCTCATGATAAAAAATGGCAAAAAAAAATTCTTGCTTTTCTTTATATATATATTTTTAATTTTGTTTAAATCGATTTTAGTTTGTGATTTTTAAAAAATCCTAAACAAAGTTGAATTCAAAAAAAAAAAAAAATAGGGGTGTAGGGTTTTCGAAGCCCTACACCCCCATATACATATATATATATTTTTACGGATTTTTAGGGGTGAAAAAAAATAATTAAAAAAACAGGCCGCGGACTGGGCCTCATAGGCCGCGGCCGCGGCCGAGAATCTCGGCCACAGCGGCCGAAATGCCCGCGGCCTAGGCCGCAGGTGTCACATAGCTTCCGCCGACTAGTTCAGGAGGGTTTCTGATCCAGCTTCAGATTCTCGACCCGTATCTTCAGCACAGTTTCTTCACGCTAATAGAAATCCCGGTCATTATATCTGCATTTGCGCCAACTTTCAGTCCAGATGTGGGGACAATGATGATGGGAAGTTTGTATTTGGGTGAAGAGGGTAGGCCGCAGCTCTGAACCTCACGATCCCTCCACCTCTGCACGCATTGCCAGAGCAAAATCAACAACACTTGTCAGGGGCTTGTGCATCTTTTTTTTTTTTTTTCTTTTTTTTTTTTGGGGGGGGGGGGGGGGGGGGGGGGGGGGGGGGACCATTTCTCGGCGGACTTGCCGGTGTCATCCTTGCACACTGGGCATGCTAGTCTTCGCTGTATCGTCCCAATTTAAACGGAGATCCCGAAGGACAGCACTTGTGCATCTATGTCCAAGGATGCAATTTCAAAATTAACAGATGCTTACCATGTTTATAGCCTTATAAGTTTATAGTTTTGATTCCAAAAGGCCCCATTCGTCGAGCAAGTCTGTCTGGCTGCCCCCAGTGTCTATATCTGAGGAGTGAGTTAAGTCTGTCTGGGGCGTGGGCGCACCCAGCCGATGTGGAATCAATGGTGCATGTTCAACAGTTTCAACCTAGGCTACCAGCCGGGCCGCCCGGGTCTCGGGTGGCCAGCCCGTGCAAGAACTCCCAGCAAAAAAAA